GTCCAAAATACATGAAATCGGAATCTCAATGCATATAGGTAATATATCACGCAGTGTATAATACTGCTATTATACTCGCGTATACAACTGACAAGACCGAACGAAACAAAAACGTCTACTGCGTTAAATATGATTAATTAATAGGTATGTAGGTAGGTACTTCTGCAGGGAATGTTAAGACACGTGTTATGTGTAGGTTCTGCTTTCTGCAGTATAGGGATCATTAACGGATCGATAATTATAAATAAATTATTATTTTACAGGTGGTGACATAAGTATAGGTACCAGACGAATGAAAAATGAAAAATTGATACTAGTATTAAACATTTAAACGTATAAAAAAAAAAAAAAAATTATATAGAAAGTAAATAATTTAAATTTAACTATGACTTATAAATAGCTGGTAGGTAATATTGAATCTTTCTATAATAAATTTAATACGGTTTTAAAATTTGTATTTTTCAGAATTAAAAAATAAAAATAAAAAAATATGTTATACTGCACTTGTAGAGCAATATTGTCTATATAAATTATACAACAACAACAAAAAAAAAAAAAAATTATCGATGAGAACAAAAGTTATTTCATTTGTCAGTTCATTCTTTTACATCTTGTATGTGCTATAGGGAGGTTAGTTAGGTTACTAATAAGTAATGGTGCACATAAAAATCGAACATCTGTCGTGCGTATATATTTGCAACGTAGTAGTAAATTTGAACTACGTACAAAATACATAAAATCGCAATCGAAATATATTTATATATAAAGGCAACAATAATATATATGGTTCAATGTATAATACTACTATAGGTTCTCATTACTAGCGTACAACTGACAAGACCAAACGAAACAAAAACATGTACTTACTAAGTTAAAATTTGATAAATTAATAGTATCGGTACGTACTACTGCAGGGAATGAAACGGTACGAGTGGGTTCTGATTTCTGCTGTATTATAAAGAGCATAAACTGATCGATAATGCTAAATAAATAATATTATACGGGGTGTAATGGAAGACCTGATAAATGAAAAATAAAAATTGATGCCTATACTAGTTAAGCGTATAAAAAACGAAATATGAAAATTATAAGGATGGTAAGCAATTTAAGATTCACTTAATATATCTGAAAATTCACATAAAGAATAGTGCGAAAAGTATTACGTTTTGAATCAATTTACTCCAAAAACATTTTTAATTCAGTATTAAAAAGTAAAAATAAAAAATATTATACTGCAGTTGGTGGCGCAATCGTCTATATAAACTATAGAATACTAAAAAAAATTTGAAATATCGATTAGAACAAAAGTTATTCATTAGGTCTTCCTATTACACCTTATATATTTTAGTGTGGGAGGTTGGTTGGGATACGGTTACTGATAGTGTACATAAAGATCGAACATCTGTCGTTGGTATATTTTCGGCGTCCTTGTAAATTTGAACTATATAGGTATAAAAAACATGAAATCGCAATCGCAATGTATCTATAGCCCATAATATATCGTACAGATGTATAATACTGCTATAGGTACTCGCGTACAACTGACAAAACTGAAAGAAAGAAAAACATGTACTGAGTTAAATATGATTAATTAGTACTTATATATATAAGGTAAGCACTTCAGCGGGGAATGTAAAGGTAGTTACGTGTAGGTTCTGCTTTCTGCTGTATAGGTAGTCACAGGTAGTCCGTGTTATTGATATTATGTTAGGTACGACGAAATATTAGCTCTCAATAATCAATAATATACTATAGGTAATACTATTATGAAACACGGACACACTGTTATAAAAGGCGAATGAACACAAAAAGGACTTTTTTAAAACTAAAATATACTTAAATATATTCGTTTGGTATTTATATTGATTTTGTAACTAGTTTCTATTTTGCATAAGTCGAACTACTATTTATTGAATATTATATATTTTCATACAACCGTTAAGTATAATAACAAATTATTTCGAAATACAACTATAACATACGGTTATTAGAGTTAGTATATTTGTGATTAAATATTAATCTCTATTCATTATTCATAATATATTTTATTATACATCATATTAATTCTCTTATAAGGTGTTAAATTTTAGATGATAAATTAGATGGTAAAATAGTCACAAGTTTATTAATGTTTATTTCAAATAAAACAGTTTGGAATTTATTTGTAAGAGTTCGAAATGTCATAAATTATAATCACTGTAGTAGGTACCATTAAGAAACTCAATGTCACCACTTAAAATATGTGAACTGTATTTACATTAATCTAAACCAATTTGGCAATGAGTCAAGAAAATATCATGTTGTATTTTAACTAATTTGTCTCCTGAGACATGAAAATAATGTATACAATATGTATAAAGTAATTTAAAGTAATTCTATAACAGTATGTCAGTATAACTTGATCATTATACGCATAACATATAAGAATGAAAAATATAATATCAATTTTTAATGACGTTACAAATCATTAATATACCTAAAACTTAGTTTTATAAAATTATCCTTAGGGGGACTTTAAAAACAAATATACTTGAAAATTGTTTGTGATCATCATAATTAAATGTGTGTTTTCATACAAAGTATAATAGTCCAATTAATTATTTGTAACCTCCCTAATATCTTCAAAAATATATATATTTAGCAAAGTTACCTATAATAATATAATATACTAGTTACATGAAATAAAAATTAATTTATTAGAGTAGGTACCTACCTATATATTATAATATCATTAGGTGTCTAATATGTAAATGTGTTTAATTATAGTTACGTGATCATAAACAAATTCTCATAAAATGTGTTATCTGACGACGGAGACACATACGAGTAATAATAATTTTATTTTTATAGCTAAAAGTATTAAAAAATAATTTTGGTATTTAATGGTATAATATACGTTTTATTCATCGTTAAGTTTTATATTGAACTTGCTAATACTAAGTTATTGTTTTCAGCTCAGAGCTCAAAAATAATTGGAGTTCAATTATGGTTTGATGATAACATTAACGTCTGCCAAAAATTAAAATTGTATAGTTAAATGTTTGTACTTAAAGTGAAATTATTTTATAGAAAAACAAATAAAAGTATCAAATTCTAAGAGTCATAACGCATTATGCTCTATTTTTTCAACTGAGTTTCATTGTTTAACCATTGCCATACATTATTCGTGGATTTATTAACGGTTTTCTTTCTGTTCTTAAAAGTGTCCATCTTACTTAACTTTCTCATCTATCTGTTGTTCCGAATGGTTTCTTTAATGTTTAATTTAAAAAACTCAACGTCACAATATTTTTACAGATTGTTTTCAATTTTAAATCAAGTTTCATTTGTTATACAACATTAAAACGAAACAGATGTGTAATTATTTTTTCCGTCCAAAACCGATTGAGATTTAATCGTATCCATAATATTTATTAAAAAGGTAACGACCAAAAACATCCGAAAGAACATGAACAAAACAAAATATTGGTTTATATGCACAATTAAGAGGAACTTTTGTAGCCCATTTATCCATGATGATTATAGCAAAACAAGCCTTTAGAAATTCTTATTTCATAGTCAAACTATTATAATATTAATATTATAATCTTCAACAGAAATTACTGATATTTTAATTTAGTTTTATACTGAAGCTCTTTTTCAATATTTTAATCATGAAAGAAACTATAAAAATCAGCAGGTAGTTTATTGTGAACTTCAATAGGTTAAAACTATTTACAAAATTAATAATACGAAAAAAACAATGTCTGTTTAAAAGTTTTGTTTATTAATTTATCATTCAAAATATTTTCTATACATTATAAAGTTCATAAATAATAAGATTTTGAACATTAAAATTAATTTTACTTTGGAACGAGCTGTATCTCTTTCATTTACCAATTAACCTAGATAAAAGTATAAAAGTATTCGAAAAGAAAATCTTGACTTTTTTTTTTGATCGATGTTTCAGTAACTCTAAACAAGAACCTTAAAAAAAAAAAAATTAAAATAAAACAGTTTATTACTTGTCAATTGAAGATGCAAAAAAAGACAAGTTATTATATTTTTATGATGAAAAATGATTCAATTGATTCCGACCATTTGTACTTATTAACATAGTATATTTTATATTTAACACGCCACGTGATAAATGTTGTAAAACGTAACGTAAAACAAAATGGTCAATAATACCCCATTTATAATTTATATTTTATTGTTAAGTGATATTGATCAAAATATATTATAATAGGATAGCAATTATTTATTGATATAAAATAAATTCTAATATTTTATAATGCACTCTTGTATTATTCTAATACTTGCATTTTTCACGAAAGTAAAAACTTAATTTTCTTAGGTAGGTATGAAATATTATTTTACAAAAATATTGCTCAAAGTTTTTTCACATAAATTGACTTAGTGACAAATTAGATGGATATTTAGTTAATTTAAAATATAATAATAATTGAATAAATTAATTCAACAAATTATATTTAATTTTAATATACAATAGTTATATTGTAAAATATTAATATTTAGTGCTGAACTTGATTTCATAAGAAGTTTTTCATATTTATTTAAGTTGAAGATCAGTCTCACGGTAGCAGTCGTTCAATACGCACTCGTTCTTGCGCTCTCAGTTTAATTAACTCTCTAATTAATGTCTTTACCTAAAACACCATTAAGTATGTGATATTATGTACGATCACGATCAATATTCAAATCTTTATTTGTCTTTTAACAATTTAAAAAATAGTATTATAACAAGTTTTTTTAGTGTAGTGAATAATACGTTAGAATAATTTACTCTTAGGTTTAAATAATTTAGTTATTATTAACTACTATTATTACACACCAAGGATAAATCTCTAAGAATATTTATAAAAAACTTAATCTAATCTTCTTGACTTAAATTCTGACCGATACACCAAGCTCTCATTTATCTCTTCAACCGATTCACTGATCTTGGCCAATTCCAAGAAACTATCAATGAAAACATTAAACTTAATATCAAACTAAAAATGCCTGATAATATTAATTCCGCAGTGAATAATCCAACGAAAATTGTACAAACTGCTGCCTGGTCTGCTACAAACACAAACTTACCCCCACATAAATACAATCCCATCCCAGAACAGATAAGAGTTATGATAGTTGAAAAACGTAGAGCCCGAGCTCTTTACAAACGTACTCGCTTACCATTTCATAAGCAAAATTACAATCGACTAGCAAATTCATTGAAAAAATCTGATCGCTAAACATAAGGACACAGTTCTCACTCGTACTTTATCTAATCTTACTCCAAAATATAGTAGTCTTTGGAAAGCTACTAAGAAAGTCCTACGCTATAAAGCTTCTAACCTAATCTAACATTAAAAAAATTCGACGGGAGTCTTACCACCTCTGATTCAGAAAAAGCTGAGTTATTCAAACTACACCTCTCTGAGATATTCCAACCACACTCAGATATTGTAGATTTAGAAAACACAAATATTGTGAATAAGGCTCTTAATGCTCCTCTTCAACTCTCGGCATCAGTTAAATCTTTCTCACCTAATGATATTAAATATCTCATACATAAATACACACGCAATAAGTCTCTTGGTTTCGACCTCATTACGGCTGAAGTTTTTAGAAATCTACCTAAAAGAGCCATTGTTCATCTAGCCCATAAATACAATTCAATACTCAGACTATCATACTTTCCACTTCTCTGAAAATTTTCAAATATAATCATGATCCAAAAGCCAAATAAACCTGATTCTACCTCTTCCTACCAATAAGTCTCCTACCCTTCTTTGCAAAAATCGCTCAAACGTATTGCTCCAATCATCGCTGAAAAACAAATCCTCCCTGATAATCAATTTGGTTTTCATACCTCGCATTCAACCATACACCAAGTCCACCGGGTGGTTGATGCAATCTCCTACTCTCCCGATAAAAAATTATATTGCACTTGTGCTTTCTTAGATATTTCTCAGCCATTTTACCGTGTTTGGCATCAAGGTCTCTTATATAAACTGAAATAATTCCTACCTACATCCTACTTCCTACTTTTCAAATCTTATCTCACTGATCGCTCTTTTAAAATTTGCTACGGAACTGCCACATCTGAAATAGCAAGTATAAATGCTGGAGTTCCTCAAGGTGGTATTTTATCTCAATTGCTTTACAATATCTTTGTCTCTGACCAACCCACATCACCAAACACTTCAGCCGAGGACTATGCGGATGATTAAGTGATAATCTCGATTAACAATGACCCATACTTAGCCTCCTTATATTTACAAACCCATCTAGGCCTAATGGAAAGATGGTATACCAAATGGAAATTTAAAGTAAATCAATATAAATCAGTACACACTACTTTTAAACAAATGCCAAATGTACTACTTTAGGGCATCCCTATCCCTTCATCACCCTTAGTAAAATACCTTGGTCTAACACTCGATAAATGCTTAACCTGGGCTCAACATCTACGTGAAAAAAAACTATCCCTAAACAATTGACTACGTATGCTTAAGCATTTAATTGGTAACAAAGTCTAACCTATTAATATCAAACTCCTCCTGTATAAAACTTAATTGAAACCCATCTGGACATACGGATTTCAGTTATGGAGAAATGCTAAAAAGTCCAATCTGAATAAGATACAAGCTTTCCAAAATATGACCTTAAGGAAATTAGTTAACGCCCCTCCATACATATCAAACCATACCCTACGTACAGATTGTAACTTAAAAACTATTCATGACGAAGCTAAACGTTTTTATAAAAAATTTCATAACTGTCTATCTTCCCATTCAGATCCTCTCATCAAGAAATTATCATCCCTCACAATCACAGGTAACCCCCCAAGGCGACCCAAACGTAAATGGTGCAGAGATTTATTACTTTAAATATTTAAAAAAAAAAACAAACTAATACCCCAAATTAAGACGTATTCATGTTATTTGTTCCTTCTAATCGCAAATTTACTTATTATGTCTAGGTATAGATTGTATATATTCTTCTAAAAATAAAAAGTTAAAGATTATTACAAAATAAGTAACTCAAGTTTATTACATTTTGTATTCATTATATGACTGTTATACTAAATATAAGAGCTGTTAATATTTGCTTAATCTAACTCTAAACTTCGGATATTTTCATAACGTTGTGTTATGTCTTTAAGATTTAATGTACACTGAACTTTTTTCTACAATTTTTCAAGCCATTTGGTGGTTATTGCCATCCATTTGGTAGTTTTGTGGAAAAAAAAAAATATTTTGATGTGAAAAAATCAAATCACATTTTGAGATACTTTTACGAGGCGTTAAAATAAAATGGTATTATTATTTTCAATTCAGACAACTTTACTCTTTCTACATTTTAATTTTAGACCCAAGCCATATGAATTTCTTCTAAACACATTTTAGTAGAATTAATATTTGATTAGTTTGATTATCCAATGGTCTTTATGCATCTTTATCCAGTGGTATAGTTTACAGAGATAATCGAAAACATTTTAATATTGTCTACAATAATAGATGTATAATTTTAATTACCAATGAAATTAGCTCCATACACGTTACGATGTTTAGTGCGTTTTTCTATAAATCAAAATATGAATTTAATTACAATGTTTACGTTTACATACTTTTATCATGTTCTATGAATTTTTGAGTAGGTACCTTACCTGGGTAATGAAAATATCAAATAATATATTCTTAAAACTATTAAGTCTAAATATTTAAGACCATATATCTATATTGAATTTTTATCACATTCTATGTGATTAAAATTATAATAATAAAATGTTTTACATCATAAAATATAATGTAGAACAACCATTCAGTGTCCACTATGTTCCTCTGTAAAAACACACTGAATAAGGCACGACAAAGTTTTTTTTTACGCAAAGTAGTTGACATTTTTTGGGATTTATCGAATCGATCTCTAAGGGATTCTACAGAAACCGATAAAAAGTGGAAAACTTCCGATTCGTCGTCAACAGCATAGAATATCTGTATTTTCGCTATAGTACTTTATATTTCATGGTAAATTACGCGCAAACATTCTTGACAGCATCTATCACACCCACGTATAACGTGAGTGTGTGTGTGTGTGTGTGTGTGTGTGTGTGTGTGTGTGTGTGTTTTCATATGGGCTGCTACGTTAAACTTCTTTGCAGTAACGATGCAAAATCAACCGGAACAATAAACAAAAGACTGAAGGTGGGGAAAAATGTTTTTGGAACGTGTACAACTACATTAGGGTGTTTTGAGCCTACAGTCTGTCGAGTATATTATTATTTACTCAATATTGCAGTCTCAAAAAACACCCATTCCCACGTACGCCAAAATGGGCGTGCGCTGTTAGGCTATAAATTCCAATACTCGAATAAATTCCGATTTAGAGTTATACTGCACGCCCTACCTGTCCGCCAACAACCCCGTCGTATTGTAGGTACCTACTGCACGTGCACCAAAGGAATAGCCGTCCTCGATGTCTGCAATTGTACTATACCTATTTACTATATAGTATAGGCGTCCTCGGGCACGTTACTTACCATATTATATTATCATACCTATGGTATATATATGTTACACATGAACACACACACACCCGCACACACATTCCCCAGAAACGATGGTTTATGCTAACCAACTCCCAAGAGCTCAGAGTGTGGCATGTCCTTCGCACGCACGCCTTCGTTCTAGTTTCAGTATGTTCTAGAGACCGTTGTACTTATAGGTATAGGTACAATGTGAAGACCTGTCAACCAAGTGTATTTAAAACAAGTGTATACACATTTAAAGGACACCACCTCGTCAATATGTAAGCAATTGATGATAATACAACTATACAAAAGCAATGAAAACTTATCAGCTATTATTACTTCATTATGTTCATGACATCCCTTAAACTAATATATAGAAATGAATATTTATTTGTTCGAACTCTATAGACTTAAAAACTAATAGACCGTTATTATACCAGTAGATCATTTGATACTCAGGGATGGTTAGCATCTTCATTTTTCAACCCCTATAGGCTCACACATGAATTTCGTTTCAATTACGAATATCGAATATTTTTATGTTTGTACAGTATAGGGTTGCGAATGATTGAATTTCAAAAATGAAAACTACGATGAAATATCTAGTTTTTTTTGTTCATGTTGAGGATTCTGCATTGTCAGTTTGTGTGACAATACGTTTATTAAATTATGAACAGTTCGATTCGCTAAACAGTATAATATAGTATATACTATATATTATATATTATATTAGGTAAGCCACAACACCCAACAATAATATCGTATTAACTAGGTATATCGTTTTTATCGTTGTTTGATATATCAAATATAAGAATACAAATCTCAATATAATAGTAGGTAGGTACTTAAAGTAAAACAGTATTACAGTATTACAGTAAAACCATATGTATAACATTTTTGACGATGAATTATAATCACGCGAAATTCCGCATACACGATAGGTTTAAACGTCGAGATTAAAGTTTGTAATTATTGAGTTTTAAATACACGTGTCTTGTGGCTTAGCGCGGTCAACTTAGAAATAATTTTCGTTGTCCATTAAGTGTAGGTGCCAACTCTATGAGACTCAAACTTTGTTCAATTCGTTATTTAATATTCGGTGTATGGTTTCAAAATTAATCTTAACTTTTCCGTTGCCCGGAATAAAAATTCTGATTCCCTGCAGTACATTAACAGGTAGGTAATCTATACCTACCGTAGATCGCGGACCCCGTGCTGTATGTACGTTTGTGTATGATTTAACTCTAAAGTATCAAAGTTATATCAAATTTGTCGTATTCTATTTTTTAAAGGTTTTTTTTAGGTTGTCTGCCTATGGTGGATTAATATAATCAATTAATACAAAATCCTAACCTAACCTGACCGTACTAAAATCAGATGAATAAAAAAAAACCTAATTTAACCATTTTTAAATGAGCCGATCTTCTTCCCAGAGGTCTAATCTACACACAAACATTCAATTATATATATATGTATTCTCAATTACGAATTAATTTAGCTCGAGACGAATAATATCCGTTTATTAATTTGTGACTGTATTATCCAAGACTTTAATGGTATGTAATATGATTCCGGTGGCTGCCTGAAGTCTACGCCGAGAAACACTTTTGTTTGATTATTGTTTTTCAAGAGAAGAACAACATTGAGTAGTCTTCCTTGTGTTTTTACTCTTTGTAATCAACTTTGGCAGCGGTCATACAGTTGCGTTTTCGATAA